TTAGTCCTATCTAACCTCCACGTAAAAATTCTAAAGGCTCATACTTTCGGGTTGTCTGACCGCATGGAGACGTCATGCTACCTGTTACATCAGGTAGGGGCACATATCCAAACTGATTGGGAGTGCCACATTAAGAGGACACCACTGCAGCCCGACTCTCCGTCCCCCAGGGAGGATCGAATTATCCCGTCAGTTGATAATCTTCCAAGTCACAGTCTTTAGCGCACCTCGATTGGTTCAAGCGTGTCAGGTTGTTTGTAGTGAGGAATATGCGCTGAGACCGTCGACCTCACGCTCTTGCTCCACTTACGGGCACCAGTTCTCGCTCCCATCCGGTCTCAGTCGTCTGATGCGGGGGGGGGGTGGGCGCAGTGACTGACAGGGCTAGAGGGTCCGTCTGCGCGCGCACGATCTGGATCACCGCACAACAAACAGGGACTTCACACAAAAGGGGTGTGAACTGCTCTGTTCTAACGTGTGTTAGAATCGCAGAGGGGTCACATGGCGAAGGTGCCAATTCCGTGCTTGTGGTGGACAATGTGGGACGGGTTCATGTGTCACGTATGTACTAGTGAGGAGATATGTGCAAAGTAAGGCTCAACGATAAATTCTCAATGTTCCCTTGGAATGTTATTCCCTTCAATTTCCACTTTGGAACTGGTACACAGATGCTCAATAGAGATCCGAGCCTAGTCCTGATCCATTCTTTCTCCTCTTCAGGATGGATGAACCCTTGATACACGCCTACCAGTACTGGATTCATGCTATTCATGGATTGTTGCCATCCTACTAGCCGATGGCAAAAACCACGATGACCATTCCGATATCCCCAGCCCTGTTTCAATAAGAATTCTCGATTATTGACTGTTGGCCGTCATGCCAAATAAAAGCCAAAGAGTCCTGAACACGTACGCGTCTGCCACTCAAATGCACACAAGCCCTCCTCCCCTGCCCTGATTACATGCACCCAGCCCAATCTAATTCGCGAATGCGCAACTGAACTCTTAGTCCTATCTAACCTCCACGTAAAAATTTGAAATGCTCATACTTTCGGGTTGTCTGACAGCACGGAGACGTCATGATACCTGTTACATCAGGGAGGGGCACATATCCCAAATGATTCAGACGGCGATTTCAGTTTCAGTTTATTTGAGGGAAAGATAGACGTTGAACCTTTGAACTCCCTAGTTGTTACAAGGATGCGAACTATATCAAAAATTTGAAAAAGGAAACATCAAACAGCTACAGAGTTTCTTCAGATTGGCAGAGTTTTCGAAACCAGACAGATAAACGAATTGTTCCAAATGTCAAAAACATTTACGTTACTAAACGTGCTGTACAGTAATCCGTCTATGGATAATGGGTGCTATCTCAGCTTCTGAGGGAGACGAATTAAATGCCAACATTCGCATTCAACAGACATGGGATAATAATAAACAAACGTTACTGAAATGCAGGCAGTAATATAATAACATTAATAAACTGTTCGAACGAGATGTTAGACAACGTCGATCAGGTTTATTCTTCAGGTTGAACAAATGGACTCAAAGTGAATGCCAGTCTGTCACCTAGTAAGTGAACAGCCATCAGAATGGGCGTGTTTAAAAAGCAAATAACATCCAGTCGGAAAGTCAGAAGTACACCAAGAGCTTGATTAGAAAGCCGTAGATAAAGGAGGGAAGGAAGGCCGCCTTGAGGAAACAAAAGCAGAAAAATGGTGGGAAAGCGTGCACTGAGTAAATAGGGGCGACGGTAATTCTACTTCGAAATAGACTTCTAAATAGACTGCGAGGGTCAATATCAGTTAAGTAATATAATGGTAAGGGGAGCTCACCGACTGTTTTTTACGAACTCAATCGTCCCGAACTCGTGACCCAGTGGTTAGAGGCGTGGACATCTAACTAACAGGTCGCGAGTTCGAGCCTCGGATGTGTCACATTTCGGGGTTGGGTATGACAGGCTGACGACGGCTAATAAGCCAGAAATGGCCTCACGCATTCTTTCTCCTCTTCAGGATGGGTGCACCCCTGCTACATGCCTATCCTGACTGGCAGGCGCCGAGCGCGGATGCCAATGTATGCCTACAATCCTTAGTTGGGTGTGTGAGATAGCATGTGGCGGCAGACGCCGTCCTCGAGTGTGGGATCCGCGTAAACGATTCTGACATTTACCGTTACCTGAAACATAGCGCGTACGCCCAATCGCAGTATGTTTTTGTGCCAATATGTTGGTCGAAAAGAGGTGGAGGGCTTTGCTGAGAGCATTGTCGTTGGCGTTTATCGGAAGTTGGCAACCACCGTAGTAGATTCCACCCCCATATTCACCGCTGATCTATAGTCTGCCCCACACCTTTGAGACCAGGTGTTTTTTGAAGGAAAAATAGTAACTTTTTGTATATTGGACGACGAGTATCCCAAAAAAACGTAATTAAAATAGGTACAGTACGTGGCCTATCCCCTGAGTGAGTCTTTAACAGTGATCCAAAGGACCTTCTACATGAAAAAGAACGCATACACACTCATTACTTCGGTGAATGCCTTCAAGAAATGCCTTGTTTTTTTAACAGATACATGATACAGAATCTGTCTTTATGGGCGATCGGAAGAAAACACTGAAAATCATGAAGTATTCAGCGATATTTCAAGGCCGATCGGGAACTCAGCGTTATCCAGAACAAACGAAAAGTGCAAATTAATTTAAAGGAAGAGAATTTCTCTTTATAAACACAAAATGCTTCGTTTACAATTACCCCTACAAATTCTATTTAAATTTATTCGAGATCGATCAGCCTGGCAGCATGTGGCCTTGTGTAAACGTTTGTTCCAACGACGTCCCCATCAATGAAATCAAGTAAAATTCCGTTTTTCTTGATAAAACGCATCTCAATCAACTGAAACGAATCAAGGACATCATGAATCCGCGAAAGAACTTTTTCTCGAATCCATACTCAGAATGGGAACTGTTGATAACCGCAATAACTAAAATTGCACTAATTTTTAAAGGATGATTAGATGCAAAGCTCATTAAAGCACTACATTTGAGGGTTATTATTGCTTTCATGATTGCTCAGTTTTCGCATGAGAAGACAATTTGTACATCTGGAAACGCAGTTTGTTGAATAACAACCATTTATGATCTTTCCAGGATTTTAAAGTTTTCTAAAATATTCGACATTTCGAAACAATACAACACTGCCTTTAATATTTCTTGTTTTTAATTCATTGAAAAATGTACTAAATTAACATAGATATTGGATCCATGAATTGATGTCCGTTTGCGAGTGACTGGCAATCACTCGTAAATCTCGGCATCCTTCATGAGCTAGGTTGCCTACTGTAGGATACTTGGGGAACAAAATAACGTTTATTGTATAAATTTTCGAGAGTAGTTCCACACATCACTGTCAGAAGTACGCGTCATGTACAAAAACATTTCATCATTTAACCGTGTCGAACAAGTGATTCTGCGGTTGGCCGAAGTCTGCGTCAGTGCGCGTCAATTTCATTTCTTCCTCTCATCGACATTAGCTGCGCTCCTTTCCAATTTTCCTTGAGATATTTGCATATGGCGTCTAAACTGATAGGCCGATTGATTTTTGTCTCATCTGAGTGTATTGCTTCCAGGAATTCGCGGTCCTCTCTTATTGGGCATGCGCCAACAGTGTGTGTTCCATCATGAGAATCTGTGTCCAGTGTGTGCATGGCCACCTGGAATATATGATCTCGTTTCCCCACCGCTAACTGGTGTTCGTCTACACGGGTTGAGACAGATTTCCCAATTTAGCCACAACAGACGGCATCACGTCCATGGCGGCTACGGTAGCAACTTGAATAGTTTTGGGATAATGGAGAAGTGGGAGTTGATTTGTGGCAAGCGGACTGAGGCAACATTTCTAGCACGCTTGCCAACTAGCATTCGAGATAAACTGCAGACCGTTTAAATACCTGCATGTAATATTAACTCAACGCACCTGGCTGGATTGCAGCGAATAAAATCATTGACTGCAACTTCTGCGTTAGGAATGTAATCAATTGGGTCGGAATTGTAAAGTCTCCCATCTGCTTCGGCTACCCTGAAGAATAGCAAGTAATCACTGTCTACTTACGCAATAATTAACGGCAAGCTTCGAAAGGGGGAAGCCTACTTGAAAAACTGTCGGTTTATTTTCAGTAGTTGATGCCAACCCAAAGTTGCGCATTCGTAACTTATAAACATTTTCTGGAGATGCAAGTGCTTTTTTCCAGCGTTCAGAGTCCATCAGTTGAATGGCTCTAAGCACTTGTAAAGACCGAAAAGTGGGTGTGGTTGATTTCGATAACAAAACAGCTTGTGAGTGCTACTAACTGGCTTCGCATCATTCTATTGGCCGATGGTGAAAAGCGCCTTATTATGAACAGAACTCAACACTCGCGCTGTGCCACCTTACTAGTTTAGACGCAAGAAAACGCCAGCATATGAGATGCCTTATAACTGAGCGACAGCCATCGTTTTACCATGTGAGACAAAACCTTGCCTGCACTACAAGCATTCACTTTTCCCATTCTCCCTTTCTCTCTCATGCAAAAATTGGACCGCCGAACACAAAAATGTCGGAGATTTTTCCAAAATAACAGGGGGTAGTGGCCGCTGATGCCGACCTTGGCATTCGGACCGCTAGCGTCGGAATGGCTCTGTCTGCCATTAGTATCCGCTGCAATTAACCACTGTACTTTTACGCTGTCATTCATGGCGGACCCCCCGAAGGATTGGATCTACTTGAACAATGATCAGCTGATTTACAGCCAGCTCCAGAGTTACGCAGTCGTCTCTGCTGACAAAGTGCAGCCGGACACTTTGACAGCGCTTCCGGTGCGCGCATTGAAGCACCTCAATCAACTAGACAGGCTACGCCAATTTTGGCGATCATCGCAGCGAAGAGTGCACAAATTGCTGCCCGCGGCAGATATAAATACCCCTCAGTTGTGGGCGCAAATTCAGCAATACCGAGAGGATAGCCAAGCATGTTCAGCGTTCTCTGCCTTGCACTCCTCCTCGCGCTCAGCACCAGTGCAGGTTAGTTCCCCCTATCTGATTGGTGCGTTTCCGGTGTGCTGACTTCTGTCCTACGAATGAATCAGCATTCCGCTCACTGTGAGACCTGTACACTTCGACGTAGGGCTAACAAACGAGATGGTGAAAGCAGTGTTCATAATCTCTCGTATCCAGCTGTCTCCCAGCATCGCAGGCATTTAAAGTCAGGTTAGTCAGTGTAAGTCCAGCGTCGAAGAAGTGTGATTCGGAGTATTCGCCTTAATACTGACGAGCGCGCCCCTTCCCCAGTTAACAGGACATGCAATGACTCCTTCTAGAGTTTTTTGTAGTCTTTTCTCAGCCCATCTCCTTTCTCTACCCCATCCCACTAGGAGATGCCTCAGAAACCAATGGCGATCTTTGGGGCTACGCATTTTGGGTTCAGATATGGGGTCGCTGCAGCCTCAATAGAGTCTGCGAATGGTCAATTCAGCCTCTATATCGTTGACTCCAAAATTGCCTACTTTCCCTCAACATGTCGTGATTTGAATTAGTTATATTTTTAATATTAAGTCTATATATAAATATAACGTCCCGCTATGCGGCTGCTTGCGGGGCTCGAGAGGGAGCTCCAAAGCACAACCGGACGAGTGAGTTCTGTACTGTGACCCGTGGGCGTCTCTTTACCATTATATATATATATATATATGTAAAGTTTTGAATGCATACATTCATGTGGGTTTTTCGCCTGTAAAATAGCTTTTCCGATGCTGCCTGGACAGGGGTTAGGATTTCAATAACTGGTAAAAGCAAATTAATCAGAAGCTCTCACAGCAGCATTCGGTACGAATATTCGACCTTCGCATCTTCTGCGAGTTTTTAATGCTCGACGGCCCACATATACTTACTTTGATTACTATAACACTGCAAAATTACCACCCCTGCTAACGAACTGTTTTAATTGTAGCGGGCAACAATGTCTGCACATTGCCAGTCGAACCCGGTCTATGCAGAGGCTTCTTCCCCAGCTTCGCCTACGTTCCTGAGGTGAATCGCTGCGAAAAATTCATCTACGGTGGCTGCGGTGGCAATGGCAATCGTTTCGAAAGCCTTGAGGAGTGCCAACGAGCCTGCGGCGGCAATAGTAAGTCTTGATTCCACTTGCTGTCCTCTGACCACTTACTCTTTGGAATTCTTACTGAGTCACTTCTCAGCCGTCCTCTTCGACGATGTTCACCATGTGCCCCACAACAGGTGGGGGGGGGTGTTGGTGGTGGTGGAGGTGCATGGATAGTGACTTACATGGGATTTAGTTTAGTAGACTTGCGCAGCGTTCGCGCATTCTCTCCTCCTCACCTACCCCGGCTCGATGCCAAGAAAGAGTCCAGAGAACCGGGGCGGGGAGGGGGAGCAGGATCGGATGCGGTAGTTGGCCACGTCAGACGGTACGTCTCCCGCGTCTCCGGGCTTGCCACACACACGCCCGATCGGTGCACAATGAACCAGCTTTTTACACAACCAGAGGTGGGGGCAGCCCCGATCCGAACTGACTGCGAGTGCCATACAGACCACATCTTGTAGGAGTCCCTGCAGCCGCAGTCTGGCTCTCTCTCTCCCTCGCTTCTGAGAGGCCGGTCGAGCTATTCCCACGTTTAGCAGTCTCCCAAGCCAGGACTTTGAGCACACTGGGATAGATTAAATCCCCTCCGTGGCGTTAAGCAGGGTCCGTGTGCGTAGCTCTATCTCAACAAAGTGGTACCATAATTACACTCCAATGAGTAAAGACCCCACTGATGACATTTCAACTACAGCAGCTCTCTCCCCCCTTCTCCTCCACCTCCTGCCTTCACCTCACTGCACTGTTCCCATGACAATGCGTACACTAATAAACCCTGCTGACGGTGTCTGGATGAATTCTGCTCTATGTGCGAGCTAACTGTGTCACTAGATTCACATCGGTCCCACTGATCGGTGCTGCTGTTTCGAATTGTAGCGAGATCAGGTGTGCGCATTTGCAACTTTCCATAAATCAGGCCTTTGAGTTCCCTGTGCTCCGATACAGTTGAGCCGCCTCAATACGTCAGATGGTATATAACTGCCGATGGTCCATGAAGCATCGGCGTTAGTGTGAAACAGATAGAATGTACAGCCTCGGTTTCCTACTGATTCTCCTTCTTTGCCTCGGAGCTACAGGTATGCATTATTTCAGGGTAAATTTAAACCTGACTACGGAATTGCTTGAATATTTATGTGGCTAGATCGCAGTTGGTAGCCAGGCCCCGTATTACAGGTGGCCGGGGAGGGGTTGTTTACTGGTGCTATTTTATGGGGTTCCACAACCACATCTGACCCATTTAGCTTCCGTTTTACGTTTGAGGTTGGGATAAGCGCACCGGTTGATGGTTTCCGATTTTCGGGTTAGGGTTATGCCTTCAGGCTTTGGTTTTTGGGTTACGGTCAGGGTTTGAGCGTACGAATAAGTTTCAGTATTATGGTTAGGCTTTTCAGTTACGACTATGTCTAAGGGCTACGGTCACGTTTGCGATATCGGTTAGGATTAGGGTTAGGGTTGCCGTTAGGGTTAACGGTTAACGTTAAAGGTTGAGGTTAGAGTTAGGGTTAAGGATAGGATTAGGGTTAAGCTCGTCGTCCGCTTCCCCATTCCTGGCTACCAACTGCGATCTAGCCATTTATGTTCTTTCGGATTAGAAAATCAGGGCATAATGACAGCGAAAAAAGTAAATTCGTAAACTAAATGGTGGAGTCTGCATCCCGGTGGGGGATTCCTTTTCCAAGCATTTCTTATAAACTCGAATCCCTGAGGTATTTCGCTAACAGTGGAAATTCAAAATAAGCACAAACAATGCGATTTATTCTTACTAAAGTGTTCACGAAGAATCCTCGGTCGTTTTCTGTCGTCGCATAACACGGATAACGCATAATGAACACACTTCAGGTTGAATCTGTTTACAAGATCAATACAAAAAGCGTCAAGATCACAGTTCGGGACGTACGCGCATACAAATCGATGGAAAGAGTTCACCTAACAACGTGACAGAAGGAAGGAAACGTAGAAGGTGGTGTAAATCAAAAAGTCTATCGAATAACACCTGCTTTGAGAAATAAATTAGGTAATTCTGGTTGGTAAACTTATCCCGTCATGTACGGACTTGAAGTGAGTGACCGATCTCATGAAATGTTAGCCGAAATTCTGCATTGCGTTTTCGATTAGGAAAAATTTCTTAAGTGAGTTTGTGGTATTGATTATCGTGCGACATAATCCTATAATACTTCAGCCTTGTAGGGATTTGGGCTTTCGAATGCCTTTGTTTTCGACTACCCGTAAAAACTGCACTCAACTGCGGCTCAATTGGTTTGCTTCTACTTTTATTTTTGATGTCCCTAAACATCAGGTATATTTCATAGAATATGTGCGAAAATATATCTTTTTTATACTTACCTGGTAGAAAATCACGCTTGATCATTCTTGCTTGAAGAAAGTGCATCCCCGAGATTAAAGAACGTTTTTCAATTCCCCATTAGTTTTCAGCCCGATCTGCCGTAGCATTCGCGTTTATCGTTTTCAGTCCACAGGAGGCATATCTTATGTAAGAAAAGTGGTGCATTTCTATACAACATCAAAAATATGTCATATAGCGCTCATAGTATTTTAAGCTGCATGTGGAGCATCATTAAAAAGGCGGATAACGGAGTGAAATATTTTCAGGAGGCCGGAAAGGATACCATTAAAGGGCTGGCATCCTGGCCTGATTGGCTGCAGAATAATCAGTAGTACAACCCTATTTGAATTATACTTCCTAATCGAAGACAAATCGCCTGTTATATAACCAAACTGACAAAGCACCGCAGTGTGTACTGTATCAGATTTCCTTGACTTATAAGCAAGCGAAAAATGGAAAATCCCCACACTGGCCCTTTGCACTAGTAGTACGCGAACTAATGTTGCAAGCGTCGCACATTCTCAACCCATCATGATTTTCAGGTCGCGAGAATCGTTGTGAGTTGCCCATTGAGGCCGGAAACTGCCTCGCCTATCTTCCACATTACGCCTTCGATAGAAGACAGCGCAAATGTGTGCGCTTCATCTACGGCGGTTGTGGAGGAAACGCCAACAGGTTCGCCACTCTGGAAGAATGCAAGAAAGCCTGCGAATAGGACTTCCAGCGCAGTCTGACAACGTACTTCTGATGCCCTTCGGAAGAAAACTGTTTACATGCACTCCTTTTTTGAAATGACTTTTGCTGTCTGCTCCATAATGTTTCCCCTGACATAGTTCGACAACCCAGAAATACAACTCAATGACACTCCCATTGTCTTCTCTCCTCCGATGATGGCATCCTTACTTGTCCGATTCGAGTTAGATGATGAATATTCATGCTCCTCAAGATTGCTTACTATGTCAAGCCGGTTGTTAACTCGTAAACCCTCAGTGGTGGGATTGTGTGCCTTGGACCCTGGGAAGAAGACATCAACCGGTTGGGGCGGGGGAGGTAGAGTGGACGGCTGATCTGTGGTTCAGAGACCCCAGCAACACTGTTTTGCCTCCATCGAACAGACGGAACAGTCCAGTCCGCCCTGTTTAAGACCAAAATACGGGCCCGTCTGGAATTCATACTCACATTTGGCGTCCCGTTGAAAAAACGCCAGATCGGTGACTCCCACGGTAATTATTGACCGAATTAGAGAGAGCGGGGGGTCAGTTTGCGCGTGAGTGTGTGTTCCACTGAGGATGTCGCAGCAAGCTGCCTTCAACTGGGATTATAATAGGAGGTGCCTCTCAGGAGACAGTCGTACCGGTGATCAGCCGTTACCTGAAATGTACTCGATGGAGGGTTCGTCTAAATGTGAAAATGTGACAAGTAAAGCCTGTTAGCTTAATGGATTTTATCAAAATACCTGCTTAAAAATTTCTGAACTCTCAGCAACTTAAAGTTGTTGAAAGTAGTCTTTACAGAGCCTACAAAATTAGCGTTTGTGGGATGGTTTTGGAGAAGTCATCAGTGTGTGTAGTAAAAAGGGACATCATTGCCTAGCCATTCTTTCCAATGATCGGCAGGGTGTACCAAACAGCGATCCAAACAGGAAGGACTGAAAATGGCTTCGTATGCTTTGCGTAGGGAGCCAGAGTTCGGGTACATTTTCGTCGACGGACGATTGCTGTTTACAGTTTTACTTGGCGGGCATATTTCGCCTTTTTCTGGGATCTGCTTATAGTCCGTCGAGAGCTCTGACCCTCAAGAAAATGGTGATCAGTGAATATTCTTGCTGTTTTGCAGATCTATAAGGAGATAGGCGTAAAAGTTTGACTTACATGACTCTAGACCTAAATACACATTGTCTTCGGGCATAAAATATGCACATTGGTTGATTGCGAAAAACTCAAGGCCCTCGGACGGCGCCCCGTAGCTCAGAACGCCCGTTGCAACTGACTCAATTGCATCAAAGAACGCTTATAAGATAATAAAAAAACAGTCATTCACGGAAATGTTAAAAATCCCCTGAAAAGTATACGGTGGGCATTCGGGCACCTCGTCGCAAGATTTTGATGGCTTTTCTGCCCGAAATCGTGACGGTTGAAGAGACGGAGGCAATAACAGTACTGTCATATTGGTGGACACAAAGTCTGCTTGCTGCAGACTCTTGGTATATCCAACAGAATGCACTGGTATTTATAAGTTTCGCGACGAATTATCAACTGCAACCCGTCGTTGAATAATATGACAGTTTCACCGTCGCGTCCAACGATGTTCATCATATGCTCCACAGCAAGGCGAGGCCGGCAAGGTGACTTGTCTACATCTGGACGCAGAAATTGCCTGGCTTAATGAAAACTTGTTTAAACGTGGCAACTTCATCAAAGAGGACGAAAATTTGCCGCGGTCAAAGCTGACGGACCAGACATTTCCGAAAAAGCCCGTTTTAATACCTCTACCCCTCAAGGACGATGGCATTTCCAATATCATCAGGCGACGGCTACGATGCCCAATTGAAAGGACTCTCAATGCAACCAAAGTCATATCCAGCAGTCCTAATAAGGCTATTCCAATTCAAAGGGCCGGGGATGCCCTACCATTGCACGTGACTGATCTCATGAAATGTTGGCCAAAATTCTGGAATGCGTTTCCGATTAGGAAGGTTTAGTTAAGTGGGGTTGTTAAACTGATTATCATGCAGCATAACCCTATAACATTTCGGACTCGTCAGGATTTCGGCTTTTTAACCTCCTGCAGAAACCACACTCGGCAAAAAATGACTACTTAAATAGCATGCATTTTTCACATTGACTTTTGATGGTAGTATAAATTTAAATATATTTTACAGAAAACATGCACAAAAATGTGCCTTCTTTTACTTGTTCGGTAGAAAATCACTCTATCTTCATATTTTATACCCGACGAAAGTGCATATTTAGGTTTTAAAAAAGTTTTCCAATTCCCGAATAATTTTCAGCCCGATCTGCCATTGCATCAGCGTTTAGCAATTTCAGTCTACAAGGCGCATTGCTGTTAACAGTTTTAATTAGCGGGCATATTTCGCCTTTTTCTGTGATCTGCTTATAGTCCGTCGAGAGCTCTGACCCTGAAGAAGAAGATGATGATCAGTGAATATTCTTGCTGTTTTCCAAATCTATAAGGAGATAGGCGTAAACTGTTCACATACAGGACACTAGACATTATGTGGGGCGAATGCTCGTGCTTCGAGTGTACTTACAGTTCGTGACCTATCAGTAGAAAAGGTCACGGACTTCGGATTTAAACCCCTGTAGCGCACCAACTTCTCCCCTCGCATGCCCAAAGCTTCAGAAGAAGGCATAGTTTGGTATATCGACTATTATTTGTTAGCTATGAAATAACTTCTTTCGATCAAGAATCGTCAAATCAAAAGCGGCTATATGAAAAGTCAGTTGTTTGGAGCCTAAGGAAGAGGACTGGCTGAACATCGAAACAGTATGCTTATTGTTCTGAGCTGTCTACCTTCTGCAGGGGACCATCATCTGAGGTAGTAACAGCAAGGGTACAAACCACAGTCATAGAGGATACGAACCAGTTAGCAATCAGTTATGCAGGTCTGGTGGTGACTGTGCAGGGCTTTATATGCCGGTGCTTGGTTGGCGCATCCACTGACTGAGTTCTCATCCGAGGTCCAGGCTTCAGTCGATTTTCGACTTGTCTTGCTTCTACGGCGTGGGCGACTACTTTGACGGCCACAAAGTTGAACTTATGACCCGTTTTGTAGGTGTGAGGAGTCACTCGCGATAATTCACCACTCCCTCCCACAACCAACTTCTGTTCGTGTGCACGCGATCCGAGCACGCGTGTAGTCTGGCCTGCGTAGGTACACGAACAGGTTAGGCATGCGATGTGATACACTGTCCCAGACTGCTCCGCGGGATGTAATCAGTCTTTGGTTCTCATGACCCTGCTGTGCATGGTAACTACGGGCCGGCGTGCCATTCCAACACACAATGCAGCAATGCACTCGGTCGTTTCCGAGCCGTATTTAATCTACGACAGATCGCCCCATATCCTTGGTGGTGGTGTTACTGTCCGGTTCCTCCGGTCGTGAACACATGGGCAACGGCTTATAAATGCCTCCGGACAACCGTTCTGCATAAACTGGTCGCGGACCTCGCGTGAGTTTTCCGGATTTCTGCACTGGGTCCGATTCCCTTTGAAGAGCGCCCTCATACCAGTTTCTTTTGCGAGCCAACGGATGGTTGCCTCCCCCCCTCCGCCCCCTATATAGCTTTACGAACCCTCGTGACAGGAGACAGTCAAGGTGAGGGACAATCGGGACTATCGACGAGGGCAGGTCACGGTGACATGCGGGTCGGATGCAGCCACGCAGGCGGCATTGGCGGGCCACGCATCAAAACAGTGCGCCATATAAGGAGAGCTGTGTGCATGACCTCCTAGTCTCCGAAGATGTGTAGACGAAGTAACTACTCGAAACCTCAGACTTCCGATAAATCTACCCCGGTGAACGCCTCCTTTTCTTTTGACTGTCGTTATTACTCTGCGATTGCATATCCCTCAGACTCTATAAACTGTTTGTGTATCAGACATCTACCCAAGTCCATAGATGTTTTGGCAGATTTTGAATAATTCGTATTGACCCATCTGTGAAAAACTGGGCGCCTCGGTGGGATTCGAACTCAAAAACATCCATGAATTACGTGAGCCTGGTAGTCATCTGGTGGATTCTAGGTGAATTAGTTAGGAAATCCTGTTTGGGCAGTCAACTCACTGTATCAGATTTGGTTGGATTCCAGACGTTGCAGTAGATTGGGCGGGTAACTTGACCCACATGTGATTAAACTCGCGTCGTCCGGCGAGACCTCGTAGCTCAAGTGGTTAGAGCGTTGACTGTACTAAAACCTTCCCCTTACAGTTTGGGTTCGAATCCCACCGAGACGTCGGGTTTTTCATAGTTGGGTCAATATGAATCTACCCAAGAAGCCGGCTAAAAGAACGCCTGCTGCACTTCCAAGCCACTGATGTTTGAGAGAGCTTTTTATTGGAATTTAGCACCTGCAAGACGTCAGGTCACGAAAGCAAATATGAATAGGCAGGACTCTGCCCTCTGAGGTATCTTCTAAGGCATTACTCGAGACCTCTGGATTTACAAGACTCCCACGGTTGAACTTTGCTACCAGGGGTCTCGAATATGGGTTATAATTAACCCTATTGGCTAACGCCAACCTTACTACCTATGCCGATGTTGAGACCGACCTGTACTCACTACATCGAGCCAAATGAACTACAAGGACGCCTTAGAAGGCCTGAAGTTGAATGCCCGTCCTATCGCATGATATCCTGGTCCGTGAGTCAGAGGGCTATGGTGTACGCATGTGCGCGGTGTCCTGAAATTAGGACGAAGGGCTAAATAGTCTTCATGCGTAACTTTGTCTACCAGCTCTAGCAGCCGATAAAGCGTGAACGACATAGCTCAAGTGGTAGGACTGCCTGGCCTACGTACTCAGTGATCCATCGAAGGCAGTTTCAAGTGCGTCAACACCTGGGGCTAAGGTGTCAACAGTTGATGGCCTTACATAGTCCAAACTGTGGACATTTAACTCTCCTTCTTGTCTTTGTTGGCAGCACTTTCTGACTATTGACTGCTAGTTGCCACCCAACCGCCTGGAGCTCCAAGGCACAACGTAAATGCACATGTCAGCCCTGAACTCTAAAATGATTTGACAACGCTGCAACCTCCGTGATGTTCCACGTTTGCAGGTCGTTCATGAGATGAATAGTCTGGCTTGACGAATCATCGCAATTATGCTCGTCTCTGGTTGCCACCGCAGCAACCAGACAAAAAGCAAAGTTGATTGTATGCGAACATTCCTCGCCAAAATCTCTTTACCAGCCCTGCCCTTCCTCCCCAGCAAATAGGTATTCCCTGTCCTACCCTACCACTAACCCTGACCTTGATTCCACTCATAACCCCCCAAAATGTAACGCACTGCCACCAGTAGTACGGAGGGGTTCCGAATCCTATGTCCTACCATTTCTTCCTCTAACACAAGTTAATCATGAATGGAGACGAATGTTTGAATTCCGGTTGTACGTATGAGCATAGAAATAGGAGGCTGTTTGATCGTCGGAACCATTTATTTTTTGCCCGAGCTTTTGAATTTCTAGAGTCTAACCAGACAACCGTGGCTGATTTTAGTTTCATACCGATAAGCATAATCAAATTAGTGTTAGGGCCTTTAGTTAAGATTATTCCAAAAATAGTTGTGATTAAAGATGTCATTCCGGTGTTCAACTTTGTTGCGTAAGCGTACCTGCAGGCTGCAGGGATGACGCAACCAGCTGTTTTATGGCTGTTGCTGCATATGGCAAACGTATTTTTTCATCACCGCCCAATCCGATCATGGGGAGGCTTCATCTGCGCAAGGAAGGATCGCAAAGCGAGAGTTGCCCACGCAACACTCCGTCGGTGAGCGATGCGTCCGGAGAACGCCCTCCTCCTCAGGGGGCGGAATCAATCCGTCTTCGTGGTTGCAATGCAGACGTGAATAGTCCAACCGCGCCAGAGAAGACGGCTGACAAATTGGACAAAGATGCGAGAACAAGAATTTGCGACACAGATGTCAGTCGCCCATGGCCTCTCAAGCTGACGAAGCCGACCAGGCGTTTGACCTCCGTGCAGCCAAGATCATTGGCCTAGACAATGGACCATTCGCCAAAGCAGTTGCAGGAGGCATCACCAACAAGAAGCGCCGTCCACTGAACCGCCCCACCCAAGGGGGGCAGCACTGTGCGCGTGGGAAGGAGGTACCAGGCACGGGGGTGGCGACCAATCAACAGCTGGCATTGGGTGATTTTCGGGGCCGGGCACCAGGACGTCTCAAAACGCGGACAGGGCAATAGCTGCACCAATCTCTGATAACGGACTTAAATTTGAGGACATGTTTCAGTGGCACCTTTCACCCAATCTTCGTGGTCACTCGATGAAGTTACGGACAATAAAGTCCAGGCTGAATCTTCGTTCTGACTTTTTCACGCAGAGAGTAGTGGAGAAATGGAATGATCTCCCTCAGTCAGTCGTGGAGGCGACGTCTCTGCAACTCTTCAAGAAACGCTTGGATGATTATTTGTGTCCCCTGCTTTCCCTCGAGAGTCTGAATCTGAGCTAAGACCCCACGTCCCCACAAATATTTTCTCTGAGACAATGCTACTCAAATGAATTAAGTACTGTTTAATGTCGAATATTTTTTGTTCGCGTACAGTTATTTCTAACGAGCTGACATCAGTTGGACCAGCCCAAGTACCATATACGCAAAATCTGAGTACTGTATATCCCATACCCTTCGCGAGAGTTCACTCTGTATGACGTTGACACACTATGTCACGCTGGTAACACTATGTGTAATTATTTACCACACACGATTGCATACTACTGGCGGCCCGTTGACAATTTGTGAATATTACGCGGTTATTCCGCAGTAACTGTTGGATTTCAGCCCAAATATTCATATCAACTTTCAGACATGCCTGAAAAGGTCTTTTCCGAAGGATGTACTCCAACTTCGTGCATTGCTTTTCTCGGAAATCAGGCAAGGCAGATAACATTATATTTAATATGTGTTTGTTGCCTACTTAATATATTTCAGCAGAACTTTTTTATAAAGCATCTTATGTCACCTTAGGTTGATGGCCCCTGCTATCGGATCAGCATGTTAGTTGACATATCAGTCAGCTCAGCGAGAGAGAGGCTCAGTGGTTGGGGCGTTGCATTTCAAACCAACAGGTCGCATGACCGAGCTCCAGGTGCTCCGCACCTCGGAGTTTGGTATGACTGGCTGACGACGGCTACTACGCCAGAAATGGCCATTCCGGTCTCCCTTGTCTTTGACGTTAATACCAGAGAGAGAGAGAGTTTCGACTGAAAGAGATTCATTTCTGCCGCTTTGGACAAAGTCAACATCGCCCTTGCAGCTAAGAGGCGTGTTAACGATCGCAGAATCTGCAACACTTACCTGATTCCGTCTCTGATGATGGATTTGAGTGTCAGTCTGAGACGTCGGATAAGTAAAACTCTTGTTCCAGCGATCTTGTCTCCCCTTCAAGATCGCCACACAGATAGGGCGGACTGGACTGGTACACCCTGCCGATCATTGGACAGAATGGCTAGGCAATGATGTTCCTTTTTACTACTCACATTGAGGACTTCTCCAAAACCATCCCACAAACGCTATTTTTGTAGGCTCTGCAAAAACCACTTGAACAACCTTAAGTTGCTGAGAGTTCAGAAATTTTTAAGTAAGAGCTGCTGAGCACTTTGATAAATTCATTAAGCTAACAGGCTTTACTTGTTACATTTTCACATCTAGGCGCACCCTTCATCGAGTACATTTCAGGTAACAATTGACCATCGGTACGACCGTCTTCTGAGAGGCAACTCTTATTATAATCCCAGTTGAAGGTAGCTTGCGGCGACATCCTCATTGGAACACGCACTCATGCGAAAACTGACCCCCCACTCTCTCTAATTCGATCAATAATTCCCGTGGGAGTCACCGCTCTGGCGTTTTTCCAACGGGACGCCAAATTTTAGTATGAAATTCCCGAAGGGCCCATATTCTCGCCTTAAATATGGCGGACTGGACTGGTCCGCCTGTTCGATAGAGGCGAAACAGTGTTGCTGCGGTCTCTGAACAACAAATCAGCCGTCCACTCTACCCCCCCCCCCCCCCCCCCCAACCGCTTGATCTATTCTTACGAGGGTCCAAGGCACACAATCCCACCACTGAGGGTTTACGAATTAACGATCGGCTTGACATAGTAAGCAATCTCGAGGAGCACGAATATTCATCATCTAACTCGAATCGGACGAGTAAGGATGCCATCATCGGAGGAGAGAAGACAATGGGAGTGTCATTGAATTGTATTTCTGGGTTGTTGAACTATGTCAGGGGAAACATTAAGGAGCAGACAGCAAAAGTCATTTCAAAAAAGGAGTGCATGTAAACAGTTTTCTTCCTTCCTTCCGAAGGGCATCAGAAATAGGTTTTCAGACTGCATCCGAAGACCTATTCGCAGGCCCTCCTGCATTCTTCCAGAGTGGCAAACCTGTTGGCGTTTCCTCCGCAACCGCCGTAGATGAAGCGCACACATTTGCGCTGTCTTCTATCGAAGGCGTAATGAGGAAGATAGGCGAGGCAGTTTCCGGCCTCAATGGGCAACTCACAACGATTCGCCCGACCTGAAAATGATGATGGGTTGAGAATCTGAGACTCCTCCAACATTAGTTCGCGAACTACTAGTTCAAAACGTCAGGGTGGGGATCTACCATACTTTGCTTGCTTATAAGTCAAGGAAAGCTTATGCAGTACAAACTGCGGTGTTCTGTCTGTTTGGTTATATAACAGGCGATTTGTCTTCGAGTAGGAAGGATAACTCAGGTAGGGTTATACTACTGATTATTCTGCAGTACATTATGAAGATCTCTCAGTCACGGTAGGATGCCGGCTCTTTAACGGTATCCTTTCCTGCTGCCTGAAAAAATCTCACTCCGGTAAGAATGACTGCTTAAATAGTTTGATATTTTCTACCGCGTTCTAATGTGCTCGTAAATTCAAACATACCTTACAGATGACGTTTGCAAAACTACGCTTTCTAGAATCCATTTTATAGTAAACCACGTATTCCTCAAATCTGTTTACTTAGAGAAGAAGCGTCTTTAACTTTTGAAAGTATTTTTAGTTCTCGAATAATTTTGAACCATACCAACAGTGGTCATTGTGCCTAGAGTTTCTAAACTACATGCTATCTGTTGTCTTTGTAAGGAAGATTATATGTTTCTCAAGGATACCTAAAAGAGGGCATGTAGGGCTCGTAAAATTTTGCAATTAATGTAGACCATGTTGCCTACTATTTAAGCGGCTTCTACAAATGTACAGGTAGGATGCCATGTGGATATACATTTCACGGTTTTACGAAATATACTAACTAGAAGCATTTTAAAAGCGAGAAAGTGCTTTCTCTGCAATGCATGTGTGTTATGATATAAAATCCATAAGCAGTACTATTCTATGCAATATACCTGAATTTATAGGGGCATCAAAAATCAAGGAAAGCGAGGCTGGGCGTTCTATTTGTTTCGCACTAACGCCGATGCTTCATAGACCATCGGCACTTATATACCACCTGACCTATGGAGGTGGCTCAACTGTATCGGAGCACAGGGAACTCAAAGTCTTGATTTATGTAAAGTCGCAAATCCGCACACCTAATCTGGCTACAATTCGAAACAGCAGCACCGATCAGTGGGACTGATGTGAATGTAGTGACAGAGTTACCTCGCACAAGGGACAAAATTTATCCAGACACCGCCAGCAGGGTTTATTAGTGTACCCGTTGTCATGGGAACCGTGCAGTGAGGTGAAGGCAGGAGGTGGAGGAGGAAGGATAGAGCTCCTGTAGATGGAATGTCATTTGGGTCTGTACTCATTGAGCTGCGGTTATGGCACCATTTTGCCGAGATAGAGCTACGCACACGGACCCTGCTTAACGCCACGGACGGGATTGAATCTATCCCAGTGTGATCAAATCCCTGGCTTGGGAGAGTGTTAACCCTGGAAATAGCTCGACCCGCCTCTCAGAAGAGAGATGGGCCCAGACTGCGGCTGCCTGAACTCCTACAAGATGTGATCTGTACGGCACTCGCAGTCAGTTCGGATCGGGACTGCCCCCATCGTCGACAAGGACGGCTGAGAAGTCACTCAGTAAAAATTCCAAAGAGTAAGTGGTCAGAGGACAACAAGTGGAATCAAGACTTACTATTGCCGCCGCAGGCTCGCTGGCACTCCTCAAGGCTTTCGAAACGATTGCCATTGCCACCGCAGCCACCGTAGATGAATTTTTCGCAACGATTCACCTCGGGAACGTAGGCGAAGCTGGGGAAGAAGCCTCTGCATAGACCGGGCTCGACTGGTAAAGTGCAGACATTGTTGCCCGCTACAAGCAAAACATTTGGTGAGCAGGGGTGGTAATTTTGCAGCGTTATAGTAATCAAAGTAAGTAACTGTGGGCCATCGAGCATTGAAAAATCGCAGCAGATGCGAAGGTCGATGATTCGTACCGAATGCTGATGCGATAGCTTCTGATTAATTTGATTAATTTGACATGGTATCCCTGGCTAGGCAGTATCGGAAAGGCTGCTTTACAGGCGATAAACTTACACGAATGTATGCTTTCAAAACTATTACATATATACATATATGCATGTCAAGTGGGCGTTTGGTCCTCACTGTTGTGTTTAGAATCTCACTCGATCTCATTCTGTCCGCCAGCCAGCTTGCTACAGGCGACAACGAACGCTGTGTCGTAGTACACATACCACATAGGACATATAGTCAGCTCGCTAAGAGTGCAACAGGCCAAATGCAGACAGCAGTTTCACGATCGTTACCGATCATCAGTACGTCATAGGCCTTATGAAGTGAGGTATATAAGCATGTCAAGTGGACGTTTGACCCGCACTGTCATTGTCGCCAGTTGCAAACTGGCGGGCGGACAGAATGGGATCGAATGTGATCCTAACCACAACAGTAAGGGTCAAAAGCCCACTTGACATGCCTATATACCTCACTTCATAAGGCCTATGGCGTACTGATGATCGGTAACGACCGTGAAACAGCTGTCTGCGTCTGGTCTGTTGCACTCTTAGCGAGGTGCCAACCATAGAATCACTTGTTTGACACGGTTAAATAGTTAACTGTTTTTGTACATTGCCCAAAAGTCTGACGACGAGCTGGGGAACCAGACTCGAAAATTTACTCATTAAAGTTTATTCCCTTCCCAAAGAATCTTACTTATTTTCAATTAAATTTCTTGGGATGCCCGTTTTTCAGCAATATACATATATGTATAGGATGGTAAAGGTACACCCACGGATTACATCACGGAACTCACTCGTCCGGAGCTCTCTCTCGAGCCCGCCGGCAGCCGCATAGCAGGACGTTATATATATAGACTTAAGTTAGAACAAATATAACAAAGACGAAAAACAACACGTTGAAGGAAGGCAGTTAATTTTGGAGTCAACAATAAAGAGGCTGAATTGACCATTCTCAGAGTCTCCGAAGGCTGCAAACACCCCATACCTGAACCCAAAATGCGTAGCCCCAAAGTTTGCCATTGGGTTCTGAGGCATCTCCTGGTGGAATGGGGTAGAGAAAGGAGATGGGCTGGGAAAAAACTAAAAGAAGCTCTAGAAGGAGTCATTCCATGTCGTGTTAACTGGGGAAGGAACGCGTTGGTCAGTATTAAGGCGAATACTCCGAATCACACTTCTTCGACGGTGGACCTGCACTGACTAACCTGACTTTAAATGCCTATGATACTGGAAGACAGTCGGATACAAGAGATTATGAACACTGCTTTCAGCATCTCGTTTGTTAGCCCTACGTCGAAGTGTACAGGTCTTACAGTGAGCGGAATGCCGATACATTCGTAGGACAGAAGTCAGCACACCGGAAACGCACCAATCAGATAGGGGGAACTAACCTGCATTGGTGCTGAATGCGAGAAGGAATGCTAGGCAGAGAACGCTGAACATGCTTGGCTATCCCCTTTGGGTTACTGAGTTTGCCCGCAACTGAGGGGTATTTATATCTGCCGCGAGCAGCAATTTGTGCGCTCTTCGCTGTCGATGACTGCCGAAATTGGCGTAGCCTGTCTAGCTGATTGAGGTGCTTCAATGCGCGCACCGGAAGCGCTGTCAAAGTGTCCGGCTGCACTTTCTCAGCAGAGAGGACTGCGTAACTCTGGAGCTGGCTGTAAATCAGCTGATCATTGTTCAAGTAGATCCCATAATTCGGGGACCCGGCGTGAATGACAGCGTAAAAGTACAGTGTTTAATTGCAGCGGATACTAATGGCAGACGCAGCAATTTCGGCGCTAGCGGTCCGAATGCCAAGGTCGGCATCAGCGGCCACTACCCCCTGTTATTTTGGCAAAATCTCCGACGTTTTTGTGTTCGACGGTCCGATTTTTGCATGAGAGAGAGCGAAAAGAGAAATTGAATGCTTGTAGTGCAGGCAAGGTTTTGTGTCACATGGTAAAACGATGGCTCTCGCTAAGTTATAAGGCATCTTATAGGCTGGCGTTCCTTCGCGTCTAAACTGGTAGGGTGTCACAGCGCGAGTGTTGAGTTCTGTTCATACTAAGGCGCTTTTCACCACCGGCCAATAGAATGATGCCAAGCCAGTGAGTAGCACTCACAAGCTGTTTTGTTATCGAAATCAACCACACCCATTTTACGATCTTTACAAGTGCTTACAGCCGTTCAGCTGACGGACTCTGAACGTTGATAAAAAGAGACTGCATCTCGAAAAAACGTTTATAAGAGACGAATGCGCAACTTTGGGTTGGCATCAACTACTGCAACTAAACCGACAGTTTTTCAATTAGGCTTCCCGCTTTCGAAGCTTGCCATTAATTATTGCGTAGAGGGACAGTGATTACTTGCTATTCTTCAGGGTAGTCGAAGCAAATGGGAGACTTTGCAATTCCGACCCAATTGATTACATTCCTAACGCAGTAGTTGCAGTCAATGACTTTATTCACTGCAATCCATCGAGGTGCGCTGAGTTAATATTACACGCAGATATTTTAAAGGTCTGCAGCTTAGCTCGAAACCTAGATGACAATTGTGTTACAAATGTCGCGTCCGTCCGCTTGCCACAAATCAACTCACACTTCTTCATTGTCTCAAAACAATTCAAGTTGCCACCGCAGCCGCCATAGACGTAGTTGCAGTCCCCGTCGTTACAACGTATTTGATAGACAACTGCTGAGGTTTCAGTGGGTGGCAGTATGTATTTAGGTTGCATAAAACGGCGACGAATTGTTGCCTGAGGTCGAAGCCAATGCCTACGCTGGCTGGTTGTAACAGTCGTGAAGCCGCCTCGGAGACTCCTTTAATGTAATGCATAGCCCTCCAGACGTCGGGTTGTTCTTCTCGTGGCCGTCGTCTGTTGACTCGGCGCTTGGTTTGTTTGATGAAGTACCTTGGGTATCCATTAATTGGAAAGAGGCCATGAGGGTGTTGTCGTTCAACTCTTTTGTCGGCTGGTGTGTTGCAGTGTTTTTCCACTCTTTGGAATAGAATAGGGACACAGCTGCGTTTGTGTGTGTGTGTGTGTGCCCTCACAACGGGCCACGTGTTAGATGCGCTGGACCAACACGGGGGCCACATCGGACTCTGGCAGGCGTTATCTGTGCGTAATAACAAGTGCCAACATTTGCGGGGTGCGCTGGCGGACCCTGTTGTCGGCATTCGTCGCACAACTGGACCACTGTCACCAACCCATTGTTTTGTGGTCAAAATCCTGGTCATTTGTGTGTGGACCAGGGGGTGTGGTGGAATGCCAAGGTGAGGATCCGTCCGAGCCATCCACCTGCGGCCTGCCTCGTCTCCGGTCTTCTTGACTCTGTCTTGACACCGGGTCCAGACGGGGGAGGAGGAGAGAGTGTAGGTAGATGCAGCGCAAGTCTACCCGCACTATAAACCCCTGCGCAAGTCACCGTCCCTGCTCACACCGCTGCTGCAGCTGTGGGGCACACGGTTGACATCGTCGAAATCGACGGTCGAACTGTCGTGTGTGTGTGTGTGTGTGTGTGTGTGTGTGTGTGGGTGTGGGTGTAGGGCTGTCAGCGGTGGGTCCACGTGATGGTCGTAGTGGTCGCTCACTTGGTTGCAGGTGAGACTACGCCTAGCGTCCATTTGCTGGCACCTAACTCTCACCTGTGGCTCCACGTAGCTGGGCTCTGCTCAGCGGCCACACCCCGGGCAACCGTCTCGACCGGCGGGCTAAACCAGGCGAGGGTATCCGTGCGTGCACCTGCACGCGCGGTACTGTGGTCTGCGCTGGCCGGATGGATCTTCGCGTCGACATCGTCGAGA